GTTTAGACTATGGCTCATATGTATTGCAAACAGGCTACACACAGGAAGCCCCCGGGAATTCCACATTAGAAATACTGATTTACAATACGTGAAAATATTTCATGGCAATAAGAACAGGAATAAGAATATTCCTAAATGCATTGTTCAATAATAGCAATAAGAATAATGCCCCCAGCAGACCCAAATCTTCCACCTGCCGCAGGCAGCTGAACATTACTTGATTTTTCTGAATCCTTTAGGCTTGAATTTGGCTTGAGAAGCTAGGATATGGAGTCAAGGATTCAGGGCTTAAGCAATTTAGGAGATGCCTCTGGGTTGGGGCAGGCCCTCCAGACAAAGCATGTCCACTGCAGGTCCTGGGAAGACACTGCCGTAGAGCCGCAAATCCTCGTGTGTTGAAGACTTAAGGATGATGAAGGCTCTTAGCACTTAGACGTTGGATACGGAACAGGATACATAGTTCTACACTGAAAGCTCACGAAAAATAACTGATGTGAGCACCTCTTAGGCTCCTACATGTTTCCCCCACCAGGCTATGGATCGCAAGAAACATAACGACAATGAGCTTGGCGGCTAGTTGCGTAAAGCAAACCTATTACACTGAATCCAAACGAAAATTTAACCTCAAAAGGGTGCCCCTCTGACTGCTGTTATTTTGCAAGGAGGTCATACAGGACTTAGCCAGCACAATGACCTGGACGATGATGTTGCGTAAATCGCAGACATGCTGGTGTTCTGGCAATAGCTTTTGGGTTCGCTGAGTTTTGCAAGAAGACTGAGCGGTTTCAGTTCCAGGCTGCATAATGCAGAAGTAGGACACGCATATTCGTCACATATTCTTTTGGAATGAGGACTGAGGCCTGGAAGAGCGGCAAAACGCGTGCTAAACTTGTTGGCCGGATGCTGGCGTCGCCAGCAGCAGAAGCTCTTCTCGCAAAGGCAGCCAAAACTTCCACTTGTTCCCACCTCGGTGGCAGTTGGCTTCAGGCTTAGAGCCACAAGCAGGTAGGAAAACACAAAACAATGCTTCATCCCACGAAACTCCGAACCCTAAACATTGAACTCGAGGCCCCAAGAACCAACAGAGGCCCAGCGTCCGAAATAGGTAACTGGGTCGCCCCCTGTGAAGGAAGCCGCCGGCCCAAAGTTTTGGATGCTCGCTCCTCACACAATTGGGAAAGTTTTGGGGTCCTCTTGTTGTAAGGATTGTATCATACTCACGTCTAGTTTGGGGACCTCCCCCTTTATGGAAACTACCATGTACATGACTACATCTTGCGACTAGCAAATGAAGGAAAGGCATCCCAAAAGCAATCCAAATTAAGCAAGAGCAATGCTCAGATCTGGTTTGTTGTCATACTACAGCCGCGATACCTGGACCATAGCGGTTCTGCAACGGCGGCGAAATCTCAGATGACATGCGAGAGGCTTACACCAAACTTTCAGGCTCGTGCGCTTGAAGTGTGATGCTGTGAGCTTTGCTTGGCTCACAGGGATTTCCGTGATCCTGGGATGGGGGCGGCTTCTTGATAGTAGCAGCCTGTTTGCGGAAGTCTTGAAGTACGGATTATACTAGAATGTCCACGTATACCTTGTGCGTACAAGCACGTAGGTCTGCTTTGCTGACCAGGGGCTGTAAACGTGGTGTAGGTTGCCAGCCGCCTGGCAAGATAGTAGACAAAGCTACTTGGAGACCAAAGTCCCGAACTATACACTGCGCACTCTACCTCAAATCCCGCAGCCCCAACAACGAATCATGAATCCCGAGCCCAAAACCCGAACCTCAACCGGACCTCATCATCATCATCATCATCATCAAGAAGGTCAACAAGAGATAGTCGTCCGTCAGCATGGACACAAACTGCAATACACGTGATAGCCGATAGCCTCCACGCGGTAATGAGGACCGTAATCCATGTCAGCGGTGGCGGGTTCTTGAGGATACCAGATTGAAGAGGAGACAGAATTACTCCAAAGCCATCTGTTGAAAAAGGACTGAACTGCGGCAAAGGCAATGAACATGTCTTTAGTGACGGGATCAAGAACAACTTACACACTGAGGTCTATTCTACACTTTGGTTCTGGCGGGAGACACGTAATCCAAGCTCACACCGTAGAGCGTAAGGACACAATCTAAACGAACTCCTCAAAACAAGCTTTTTGCGGTTGTGAAACGGTCCTCATGGAAGCAGACGGTTTGAGAGTGTGATTTGACCCCTACAAATTTGTGTGGAACATGAAAACATGGAATACTCCTGTATTCCTATTCTGCCGCATGCCTCCATGATATTCGTCCCAACTCCTCCATGGCTCTCTCATGCCCTTCCGAAGAAACAGTCCTGCTAGGCCCTAAACCCTCCCCCTCCCCTAAACCCTAAACCCTAAACCCCCTAAACCCTAAACCCCCTTCCTGGTTAAGGGACTCTGTGACATGGCTAGCCTGGAACTGATAGTTGTGGTCCCGAAGGCCGTAATCTCGACCTGAGGATGCCGAATTTCAGACTGACAGCCGCGGTGCGTTTTGGGATTCAAAGATTTAGGGTTTAGGGTTTAGGGTTTCTGGGTTTAGGTTTCGGTGGCTCTGATTTTGGGGGGCTGCGGGATTTTCGTTTTTGCGTTGGGTGTTGCAGCTTGGGGGTAGCTCGAGCTTTTTGCGCTGTGGCTTCTGAGGACCCACCCCTGGCACAGGCTGGAGGAATCTAATTTGAACTTTTGGCTCCGAGCTTTCCCAGGGAGCCCAGTGCCCCTATAGGAATGAAAGAACAGACGGCGAGAAATAGTATTATCCCGAAAAATCTTATAAACTCCCAAGTTCAATTTAGTTATCCATGTTCTTTTCCATTTGATTCTCATTGTTGGGGTAATGTCCGTAACTATGTTGGTAGTTTCCCAAAATAGGGGGACCCCAATATAGACCCCAATATACTATAGTCCTTATTATGGGGATCCCCAAAATGGGACCCCTAATTTTAGGAAACCCTAATCCCTAAACCCTAAACCCTAAACCCTATATTCCCCTATATCCCCCTTCAAAGGGATCTAGGGTTTCCATATCATTCTCCATGTTCTTTTCCATGTGATTCTCCCTGTTTTAAGGCGTAAGGCTTGGGATAGCGGCTCACATGGCAATGGGCAGCTTAAGGGCTCCAGCAGCAAGTCAGCAGTCACGTTTATAACCTTTAGTAGTTAAGAGTTTAGGGATTAGGATTTAGGGGATCATGCAGGGTTGTAATGTGGACCCGTGATTAATAAACCCCCTCCCCTTAATAGGTACTATAATAGGGATCCACAGTAGGCTTCAAATAGGAACTTAACAGGCCCTCTGCACTGTCGGACTTCATATTGCGGCTGTAGATTGATTTTTCTCCTGTAAAAGCATTTGAGCCGGTGGTCTCTTCGTTCTGTTACCATGTTCCCGCCCTCTGTCACTATACTCCTTGCAAGGAACCCTTGCACACAGATATAGTCCCCCTTAAGTAGATAAAATGTGGTTTTGGGTATATGATAATGAGATCCCCAAATACCCCCTATTCTATCTTCTTAAGGGGGACTATATGTGTATGTATCCTTTATCAAGCACAGGCAGGGAAACTTGGGGTTGCAGTGACGGGCTCAGGGCTTGCAACACATGATCCAAGGTGTACAGCTTGGAGTTTAAATTAGGGTCTAGGGGTTAGGGTCCTGTGTTGCTGAAACCTTGTTTCTCCAAAAAACTCTGGTCGTTGCAACCGAGGCGCATATTCGTAGAACCTGTTGGGTTGGCTAGCTCGAGCTATCTTGATCATGTCGCCGACGCTGAATCCAGCATTGGTGCTAACAATAAGCACGGTACCACCGGCGAAGATCTGTCAGACAGGGCGCGGATCAAGGCTATTTATCAAACTTACAAACCCCAAGCCCCGAACTGAAAGGCATAATCATTGCCAGGAAATTGCTCATAATTTGTTGATTGCTACTATTATTGTCGATATTACTACTAAAGCAAATTTTCCTAATACCAGAATTACTATGGGTAAAGCATGTAATGATAAGGCCCCAAACCCCGACGCACAATAAATAGTAGATCCCATTTTCTTTTCCATTATCCCAATATAACCCCAATATAACCCTAATACTAAAGTAGTTTCCATTTTCTTTTCCATTATCACAGAGCCTCGAAAAGGAGCTAATAGTAATAGAAATAATCATAATAATAGTAATAGTAATAGTAATAATAATAATAGTAATAGTAATGGTAATAATAACAATAATAGCAATAGTAATAGTAATAGTAATAATAATGATAATGATAATAATCAGCCTCAAAGAGGAGCTCAGTGGTCATTCCGGTTGTGGTCGTCATCGTCGTTGTGGTGAAGGTGGCGGTCGTGCTTGTTCGCGTGGTGAAGGTGGACTCAGCAGCAGCCAGAGTCTACTTGAAGGGTCGGAGGGACTTAGCAAGAAGCTTTATTTGACCCCATGTAACACACATAGCAATCCCAGTTATCCGCATGTTTTTCTACTTGCTGAGCCCCCCTCACTCTCCAAGTAGGATGTTATGCGCAGCTCTGGGCTCTTCAGACCCAATGTTGCAGATGTTCATGCCAAGCCGTGGTCTCTGAAAGAAATGGGGTTTGGGTTGAGGCTGGAGAGTGTTAATTGGAGTCAATGAGGACTGAGCCTCAAGTGCGTGCCTACCCCCGGAGTCGCAGGCCGCAGGCTACGACCACTTTCCCTGCGAGAGGTTACATAAGTGGGGTGCCCAATTTTGACCCAATATACTACCTAAATCCTGAGTGGAGACACTCAAAAGGGACCCCTAATATTTGGAACTCCCTCTCCCCGGCTGTTGAGACAGGTGACGACTCAAAATTTGGGAAGTAGATTTTCTTCACACAGCAAGAGCATTTTATAAAGAACTCCTTAGTATTCACTATTGGATTGCCAAAATCTACAGCATAGCTCAACCACAGTCCCATGCTGAATAGACAAGAAGCAATTTTACACCTGGGTTTCTTCATTTGTGGGGTGGGTTGCTTACCATCAGGATATTGAACTCCTATACTTCTATGCTGGATTCCTCTGGGACATGTTAACAAGACCCTACCCAAACCTCCCCAAACCAACATGGAACCGAGAAGGGCCGCCCTTGGACTAGTGTCCTCTTCAAGGGGCCATTAGGCACTTTCATGTCTGTGAGGCGCAAAAACAAGTCAAAGTTTCCTGCACAAACTGTAACCCATGTGTGAGTGCCAGGCTCGCTAAGGACCCAGTTAGTTCCTTCAGATCTGAGCGAAACAGCTGCAACCAAAGCCGCTTTTTGGGAGGAAGCAGAAGCTGCACAAGGTGAGCCCTAGAGGCCTAGAGGATCTCTTTGTGAAGGAGCAAGCACACCCAGCACATAAAGCACCTCCTGACCCCCTACACAGGGCATACCCATCTTCAAGAAGAAAAGAATGTTGCCGCCAGCTTGCGCTTGTCGTCGACTCCCTTGGCGTACACCACTGCTCCCACAAGCTAGGTCTTATGGGACTGTCATGCAGCAGCACTTTCACAGATCCGAGTCGAACACGCAACCTATTACAAGTTGGCAAGTCAACGGTACAAAAACAAAAATCGCTGCTGCACATGTGCTAAATTACATGCCTGCTGACCTTCGGCCTATCTAAGACCAGCACGTTGTGAAGGTTGAAGATGTCGAAATGAATGAAGTGGTCGTCTGAGTTGATGATGTTGAAGTTCTAGATGTTGTTGTTTGGCTCGTCGTGCTCAGTGTGCTCGTTGATGTCGAAGTAGACGAAATGGAGGTACTAGTGTCTGTCACGGACGTAGAAGTGGATGTTGTGAGGGTTGCGGAGGTGGATGTGCTAGTCGTTCGAGTGACAGTTGTCGTGGTGGTAGTGGGCACCTGGCATACCACCTCAATATCCTCGCCAGGACCTAGACAGCAGCACAATCCTTGGTGCAGAATAAGTTCATGACAACACCTGGACACCGCTACAATGTTCCCAACATTTGAAGAGCCGAAAGGCACACCACAGATCTTGGGACGGTGTGTTTGTGGGCAAGAAGAGGGACCCTTTCGCACAAGGACCGTTGAACCGTAAAAAAAAAAAAGGCATCCTGTCACAATCCCTGCACAACTCTTTTAATTAGGGAGCGCGCATCCTGCAAGATGGTGAAGATTGCATATAGATTGTTTGCAAAGTCTACCCGAACAAAGCAGCGGCAAACCAAAATGACAGCACCACCCTAAGTACCCCAACGACCTGGAAATTACAGGAGCGTAGGGTCCCTCTGCAATGTAAGACCTCCTCCATCAACAGCCGAAATCTCCACCTGCAACGGCTCCTAGAGTTTGGAATTCCCTAAAGGCCCTCGCAGTGTGCGTGGCCGTTGCTCCTGCTTCCATACCCGACGCAAAACCCCATATGCCGTGGCCAAATTCTCGCTAAAGCCTCACGAAAACTCACCTAACTCCCAGCAACTTATCCCTACTACGTCCCACAAATAAAACACTCACCAAGCATTCAAGACAAAGGCTCGCTCTGAGTGACTTTCACCTGAAATGCGGTGCAGTTGAATTCAAGGTTTTGCATCTACGGTTCAGGTGGTGGATATGAGGATTGAAGACATATTATGGCTAATGCCTATGCAGGTTCTACAGTAAAGGTTTCAAGTGCACGTTTTGGGATAAAAACACTGTCGTGTAGGATAGGAGGTTAGCGAAGCACTTAATTGGGGATGAAGGTCATGGAGTTTTCAGTGCTCAGGGCTCAGAGGATCCTGGAAAGAGTAGCACCCGAGCTCCAAATGTGTCAATGCAGAAGGAAGCTCATCGACGGATGTGGCAAGGGAGGACACTTGCCATTTTTCTGCCATAGCATGCCCTATAGGTCCTTAATAAAGATCACGACCCGAACAACTTTGATAGCCGCCGTGTCATCGCGATGATGCCCAACATCAAAAGTCAGTATGACCTCTCCCCCGTTCCTAACCTTCCGTTCTGCAACTCTGGAAATGCAATCACAGGGATATACCTAGACCTAGACCTCCCCAACATTCACAAGAATATAAGCATCTCAACCCGGCCATGTGGCCTAGTATTCTGGCTACTTGAGAGATCTAGGCTATGCTGGATTCAAGTTTTGGGCAGTCAAACGCGAATCCTTCATGAACACCCTTTGCAATGATAGCATCTCAATCATCCACGTGGTGTTCTCCTACGTCGCGGCTAGACACCAGCCACTAAACACAAAGCTCAGCGTCCTCGGCAGATTTGCACGACAACATAAGGCCACTGATTCCAACCCAGAGTTCACATTTCCTATCTGACTCTTTTTACCATCGAAAACCGAGACCTGAATGAACCCCTCAAACCCTAAACCCTAAACCCTAAATAGTAGTTTTCATTTTCTCTTCCATTATCCCTAAATAACGCCAATATATACCGCATTATACTATAATGTCTTCCAGGTTCTTTTCCACTGACCGCAACATATACCCCATTTTACTATCGCATTTTCCATATTCTTTTCCATCATCCCTGTATAACCCCAACCCCAACCCCAACCCTAAACCCTAAGCCCTAAACCCTAAACCCTAAACCCTAAGCCCTAAGCCCTAAACCCTGCAGGGAAAGGGCTGGCACTACATTCGCTCTGCGTGCCATCAGACAGACACGCACGGCCTGAGGCTGCGAGGATGAAGCTTCAAGAGCTTTGGCTTAGCAGTGGTAGTAGCATTACTAATGATAATAAGAGGGTTTTGGGTTTAGGATTTTAGGGTTTAGGGTTTAAGGCTAGGGGTTTAGGATTTAGAGTTTAGGGCTTATAAGGGTTTAGGATTTAGAGTTTAGGGCTTACCAGGGTTTATGATTTAGAGTTTAAGGTTTTGGGTCTAGGGCTTAGGAGATATATGAGGGATAAGGGAGAATCAAATGGAACATGAAATGGAAACTACTAATTGGTTAGCCGAGCATGAAGGAATATACCCCAAAGTTGCATAAACATGCTGGCTGGGGAAAGGAATCCGAAACTGCATATTCCGATGATCTTCCTGTTCATTTACTCCACAGGTCCTACACTGTTGCATGTTCCGACTCCTACAAATTCGGACCACGCGAACCCCTCCAACACTAAAGAAGGCAAAAGTGTACCAAAGCAGGGGGCACCCTTAGTAGAGGGAGATGCAGGGTTCGACATAGCAGAGGATCTCGTCTCTGGTTTTGGTAGACTTTCGCTTGATAGCCTCATGTCCAGGAGTAGAATCTGTTTCTCAAATTACCACCTACATATGAGCTCTAGTCTAAACTCCTACCACCCCCCTTAGCAACCCGTATAGTAGTCCCCTATTTTATCCCCTGTAACACCCCCTTTTAGGAGTTTATAGACTATAGCTCATATTCCTTCAAAGGGACCCGTGCACTTGCATTGTCATCCCCGTCATCCCTCGGAAATGGTCCCAAATTGGGGGTCCCCAGGTGGCTTGGTTTACGGGTTTAGGGTTGAAGGTTTGGGGTTTGGCCCCATATGGGGTTTCCCTTAATTAGGGGGCGGGCTAAAGTATCTAGGGGTTCTATATTGGGTGACTCATTTTCGGAAACGACCATATACAACCCCTGGCAATGTCCTGATTTTTTTTAATATACCATAATGACCATGTTCAACATAAGGCGCGTGCAGTGCCGTCTTCATGCCAGGGGAGGGGACCAGGCGAGAGTCCTAAATGAAAAGGACTCCACCAAAAAAAGTAAAACAAATTGAGACGCACAGACACACGCCTTTTCTTCATGGATTCTAAACCCGCAAGCTCAAAACACGCTGCACCCAAACAAACCTTCAAACTCCAGAAACCTGAACCCTAAATCCCTAACCCTAAACACTAAAGCCTCAACCCTGAACCCTCAACCCTAGATTCAAGCTTGGTCTGAACCCAAAAAGGTGGGGTTTGGGTTGAAGCCGATTAGGGTTCAGGATTGAGGTCTGCAGCTCCACAAGTTCAACCCCACGCCAAAGATGTCCGTGCGCCTATGTAGAAGTCATCTGCCGTGTACAGGAGCATCTGCAGCGGCTCGCTGGTAACCTCAGGGTCTGGTTTCGAAAGGTTTCGAAAAGCTCCTATCACTAGAACCGCCGTTTAGCCTGCGCATGCCTGGAGGCCAATCTGCTACAGTTCAAACATGAACGTCAGGATCCCCGAAGATTGCTTCATGAAGTCCCTTGCATGAGACCCCTGATTTTCTAACGACGGATTCTGTTTGTATGCTTTGGGACAGGGCCTTTGTCCGGAAATGGTACTCCAAAATCGGTATTCGTCGCATGAGAAACCCACAATGAAGAAACGCAACGGTTGGGCACTCGCAAAAATAGACATCTTACCAGAAGGTCGAAGAAGTGGCGTTACTGATGGTATCTGGTAGGCGGATATGCCCAGGGGAACACTGCTGTCATGTTTTCCCATGCCTGCACGACCTACGTGTTCGATCCTACTCTCCGTCGCCTTGGGCTGCGGGGATGTTGATCTTTTGATCTCTATAGTGGTCCCCAGGCAGTCCCAAAAAATCATCCCTGGAAGGCTCCCTCCGATCCCAGCCCCATGGCCAACTAGACCTTGAACCCTAAAGAAACTAAAAGAAGAATACATGGTCCGCACAAAGGGGGAGCTGGTCTACACGCACCAGGAGCAGACACTAGAGTCTACAGAACGAGCTGTCCTTGCTTTCGGAATTTTGCGGAGATCTGAGAGGTTCAGGGTTTGGAACAGCAGCTCTGCGCCACAATGCGGGCTGATAAATCTCCAAAGTACGCAGGGATACTTCAAAAGCGGCCCACCAATTGACCCACACTTGCACACGCCCGTCGCAAACTTGCCAAAGACCAGCTTCATCCCGAAACCCCTAAACCCTAAACCCTAAACCCTAAATGGTAGTTTCCATTTTTCTTTTCCATTATCCCAACAAGCCCCCCATATAATCCCTATAAAACCCTTTTGCAGGAAATTGCAGCCGAGATGCAAAGGGAAGATCAGGCGCGTAGTCAAAATCACATTGGGTCAGGGAATACTGGTTCAGAACCTGGGCGGTGTCGAGGTTTAGGGGTTTAGGGTTTAGGGGTTTAGGGGTATAGGGGTTTAGGGGTTTAGAGGTTTAGGGGCTTAGCGGCTTAGGGTTTAGGGTTTAGGGTTTAGGGTTGAGTGTTGTTCAAGCCTGACTGAAAGCTAATGGCCAGGCCATGTAGATAGGAGGGGGATGCCAGGGATAGCAATAGGAGTTTGATAAGGTTATAGGCACATTGGAGTTGCCAGAAATTAAATGTTTATGCAGGGGGAACCAATTTGTTTTTCTTCAAGAGCCCAACCCCAAGCCACCCATATTTGAAATGCGGATTCTGATGACCCTATACTAAGGACCCTGGGGGAATCAAAAGATAGTCATAGGGTTCTGATGTTGAAGATTGGGGAAAACAAGAGCATTTCCCAGCAGGGCTTTGCTTTGGATTTGGGGCGTTTGTAAAAGGACAACTCGGGTGGCGCCTAGATAGTGGGACAACACATACCGGGACACAATTTGGCTTGGGCTGCAGCATTTGAATACCGAACTTGCTGAAAGCACCAACGTATTATAGCTTTTCTTGGAACAAGCATCGCAGCAAATTGCAACCCAAACACATCATTAGTTTCTATGGTTAGGGATACAATGCACGTTCTAGCATTTGCAATTCTGCAACTGCCACCATGCACCAGCGCCATGTTCATGCTGGAAAGCAAATTGGTTCTGCCACATCATTCAGTGCCACCAAGAGGCCCATGTCATCTGGGTCTCCGATGTGATCAATCTCATTTTCTCCACTTCGCATGTCTTACCAGCACCAGTGCAAACGGCATCGCAGCTTTGACCTGCACTCAGCTTCTGAAAAAATGCCATGATTGTTGAAACAAGAAAGAAAAATGTCTGCCAGAATATCAAGCATAATTGCGATAATAGCGGCTTCGGTGTGGCGCACAGATTTTCTGCATCGACTGTGGAAGCTTGCAACAGGGGCGCGGGCGTCATTTTTTGGAGGTCCTTCTTTGGAAATTAAAATAAAAGGAATGCGTGGATTCCTGCCGCCAGAACTATCATGAAATTGAGAAGCCCCAAAGACGAAGCAGCAGTTTAAAGATGCAGCAGTATTGCCACCTCCCAAGCAGGCCGGTCAGCCTGAAACGACTGCATTTGCGGACAAAGCACGTTAGACACTGCAACAATCAGAATTAGCATCGTTTTTGCATAGAACATCCCAGAGACCATTGCTCAAATTGTTGAACCCTTGGTGCATGTGCAATTGGGGGGGCACCGGATACGTGAACCAGAGACCGCCATCAACAGTCATAAGTCCCAAGGAATTAAGTTCGAAAATGGGCCTATCGCAAAGGCAGGCCCAACATCTGTCAACATAGGGTTTACTTCTTACGCGCGCCACCTTCAAATCCTGTTGGACAAATGTGCATGATTCCAAAACCCTATATCTTTAATCCCTATATAACCCATCACAGTAGTTTCCATTTTCTTTTCCATTATCCCAATATAACCCCGCCAATAATATATCCTATATTCTATCTACTTAAGGGGGTCTATACCCTACCCTATAATCCCTAACCCCAATATAATCCCTATAGTCCCTGTAGTTTCCATTTTCTTTTCCATTATCCCAATATAACCCCAATATAACCCTAATATAAGGGATCCCTCAAACCTTGGCATCCTCTGCCTTCCAAACTGTAACCCAAAAAGGGCCCTGACCTTGAAACTCTACATCTGAAATCTTACAGGAACGGACGCTGTGGACACTTGTCTGTTACATAGTTTGGGGATCGCTTTTTGGTATGTGGTATGGTTGTCATATGTGTTGAAACACGGCGTTCCTTGCCTTTTTCTTGGTTCGAACCTCGAACCTGACTGAAACAACAACCACCACATGCATAGACTCACTGGGGTGCCCTCACCCTCCAATGTGGGGAAGAGCTACCACTTGGGAGCATTTTGGGGTCCATATTGGGGTTCCCTTTTTGTTGGTAAATTACCATATACAAATTATGTTTGGGGGTCTACAGTAGGGTCCCCTTTCTTGGGAAAATACCACGAAACCTGTACTTCCAATGGTCCACGCAAGGCCCAAAGGCAGAGACGATAGCCTTCATTCTTTGAGAAGGCTTGTTGATGAATGGTCGGGTTTATGGTTAAAGTTTAGGGTTTGAGGTCTAAGGGTTTCAGGCTCAAGGTCTAAGGGAAGAGCAGGATTCCAAATTATGACCCCCGAAAACTGGACATCAAAGAGTTACACTCGCAAAGATTTCAAAGGAACGGAGTATACTCTCACCAAGAAAGGAAATAACAGTCGTACTTCCTGCAGGGATTCAGAACTTTAGGGCTTTAACTCCCAGATATTACCCACATATAGCCCTAATATACTATAGTAGTTTCCATTTTCTTTTCCATTATCCCTATACAACCCCATACTTACTCGTATTTATAACTGAGGGATTTTGAGGCTTGCGGATTTGGGAGGTTCAGGTCCAAGCACATGGGTTAGGGTTTAGGGGTTTAGGGTTTAGGGATTTAGGGTTTAGGGTTTAGGGTTCATCAAAGCCCTCAAGGATCCACTTGGCCATCGCGAAAGAAGGATGCATAGCTTCCAAAACTCCCTTGCCCTGCACAAACCTCTGCAATATCCCCAAAAGCAAAACGAAGCCCCAAAAACAAAACGATGCCCACCAATTCATGCTTTTGCGATCTGTGGTATGTGAAACTGAAACGTAGAGATTGGGTATGTAGGCTTGTTTAAAGGTTTCAGATTTGCGGTCATTGGAGGTTTGGGTTCAAGACGCATCAAAGAACACGCAATCCTTAAAAGAAGAATAGTAATAGTAATAATAGTACTAATAATAATAGTAACAATAGTAATAGTAATCATAGTAGTACTAACAAATTTGTTCAAGGTTCAGGGTTTGGGGTGTCAGCCTTCAGCTCTTGTCATGGCTAACGGTAGGCCACATTTCAAGCTCTTCCTAGCTGGATTTGTCAGCATCAAACTTGCCTGCATTGATATATCCCCATGTAACCCCATATAACCCCTACATAACCCGTCCTAATTTTGGGAAAGCCCCAGTTATATGAAGTCCTTACAACTTGTTACAAAGTGTGTCAAACGTCCGAATGGACTCGGTATTCGGATGGTTGGATGTTGATTTGAGACTTCAATATGACAGGCTTCTCAACTTCGGGGTTGCAGCTTGACGTTCACGACCCATGCGCCATGGACAAAGCCCTGCAAGTGCAAACAGAACTGAACGCTCTCGGGCCTGTCCTGTGCGTCTTTGCAAGACATGGTTCAAACAGGCTCAGACCAGTTAAGTTCAAAAAGAAAACCGAGTGGAAATGGCCAGGGCTTCTGAATGCGCACTTGGGTTGTGTCACCCTTACAGTCGTGCAGACATTTTCCTTGTAACCATCCCGAAAATCTGTCCTCAGGCTCGAAAATTCAACAACCTTCCTTGCATGTCCGACTCTAAACACTTACGTACGCACAAAAACCAGCTGAAAAACCTCTACGTCAAAACTGTAGCTAAGCAGCAGCAACAGGCACAGCCATTGCGCGCGGCACGACATTTCCAAGCAGGCCATGCTCTCCCACTTCCTTTCAACAGTCTGAACTCCGCAAGAACAGCTGCTAGCTGGTAGCTATGAAGGCGTTCAGTTGCTGTCTGCTTGACATGCCGCATACAGCAGCAGCCAAAACACGATGATCTCCTTGTGACGAAACTTTCTGGCTTGACCGGCAACATGGTACTTTGAACAAATATTCACCAAACGCGGCTGGGAAAGCAAATCTGCAAAACGTGAATGAAACATATCCATGACCCTTAATGGCATTTAAAAAAAAAATGCAACCCTGATTCAGACCAAAGAATCCAGAGCACTGGACAAGCTTAGTACGGAGCATCCTAAGCTAGCCTTGACGCCACTGGTGGCCTGACCCAAGAAGTGCAGCGAAATGTGCATGCAATTCTGACACCGCAAGGTTTGCTGATACCCAAACCCGAATCCCTCCAAAAAGCCGTAAAACCCATCAAAACCGAGTCAGCAGCCCGTAGCAAGAGCAATGTGACGCAAGCCCTAAAGACCGTCCCTGCTTCAATTTGTGCACTCTCCGCATGAAGAGTCTGAGTCTGCACACGTCCCAGGAGCTCATGTTACAACACTACAACACAGGAGGGATGCACCTGGAGCTTTGCAGGGGTCCCGAGTGACGCAAAGTGCGGAGGACCGGGTCGTCAGCCAACTTGCTCTGTGAGCTTGGGGAGCGGAGCCCTACACCCGAAACCCTGCACAAACACCGTGGGGATAGGCTCAGCAAGCCACACACGGAGTGTGAGCAGGGCTGCATCTTCAGAGCGTCGCCGGCGGCAGCCCAGCTGCTGAAGCCTCTTGGGCTCAACGAGCCTCACTCTGCCTCTGCAAAGGTCTATGGAGGACCGCTTCCGAGCGCTTAGGACCCTAAGAGACTGGGAGGCCCCAGTTTACCGGTGTGCTGGGATGTGTTGCAGGGCAGACGTACCAAGGCCGCAGGCTGCAACAACGACAACAAGCCAGGTTACAGGCCATGTTCGACTGGAAGTCTCCTGCGCCTGGAGAGGCGTCCCAGCCAGATCATGTCTTTAGCCGAAACAGCCCCCAACCCTCTCTCCCTCTGGAAGGGCGTCAATTGCGGTATAAAATTGCGGTATAAAATTGCAGTATAAAAACCGTGCTAAATATCAGACCGGGAGAACCTGGCGTTTGAACACCGGAGTTTTTCAGCATTTCCGGCACATCCGGTCCCAGGCGAAGAGGGGGAAGTCACGTGCTCAGCATCTTCGCAAGTCCAGGAACAATGCCAGAGCCTAGGGCTTCTTGAGGCCGTCTTCGGGCCAGTCAGACACGAGATCCTCTCAGGACAAAGGGGCGCCCAAACATTGCATGAATCCGATTTCTGGGTTTCTGGAAAGCAGGAATGCTCATAGACAGAATCCCCTGTTTTGCATTCCTTGTCCAGGCCTCCGTCTGCAAACAAGGAATTCTGAGAAAGGTTGGTCTCCAAACCTTGTGAAACCCTTCAAACCTCAAAGAAAGCCCTGTAAAACCCAGTGAGTGGGTCAGCATCGGAGACTCCGAGTCCAACCTTGGAAGCCTTGAGATGGCTGAAGACTCCACTCCATTTCCGAGTCCGCCTATGAGCGTAGAGTTTGGGGTTTGGGGTCGGGGTTCTGGTGTCCAGCAACTTCGCCTGAGTCCGCTGGCAAAAGTGTAGCGAGTCATCCTTGAATTGCTTCGAATATTGGTTCGTTTTGTTGGCTCGAACTTTGCGTCTCGTTTCTCACTCAAAGTTGTAGAGCCGTCATTGTGATGGCACATGATCTGGTTGAGACCAGGACCTACCACTCTCGTCTGCACACAGCAACAAGGCGAGAAACGAAAGGCACTGAAAGAGTTCGAGGGTCTAGGGTTTAGGACGCCTCTTCAACACAGGAGGTGTTTGGCTGCACGCTTCCGCCCCCACATCGCCAGGAGTTGAGGATGGTCGGGATGAGTTGCCAACCTTGGAAGAGCGGACTTTTCTTGATGAATGCCACCGATACGGGCCGCGAATTTGGAAGGAAGCGAGGAATGTTGCCTGGCCCGCACTGCGCCGCGTGAGGCTTCACATTGTCTGCGTCCCTACCAGCCCTTCCTCTGCCGCGGAGTCTCAACGTCCATTGCCCTAGTTGGACACTCGCAAGCCCACTGGGGCTGTGAAGGGGGCGCACTCGTTGAAGCGGCAA